TAGGGACGAATAAATGGAGGTCCCGTCTCCTGCAGGGTTAGGGGTAGGAGACGTTATTTTCCCATGCATGAGATTACTGCATGATGGATGTCTTCCCCTGGGGTGGGATGGGTGGGTTAATACAGCTGGCCCACATCAGCTAAGCTGCCAATTAATCAACCTGCTTAAACAATTAAATAAATACTAAATAATAAATACATTTGCTGATTTTTCCTTTTACAAAAAAATGACCCACCATTCCGGCACTTGTGTGGGGCAATGCCCCAAGGGTGGGAATTTGAACAAATCAATCTTCAAAAGTTCAAAATCCTGAGGAACCAGGGAGCAGGGGGAGGAATGCGGGGTGTTGAAGCTTTGAATTGATCAAGGCATGAAGAGTACACTAGATAACAGTATTCCTAATTCTAATAAATATGATTCTTGCAAGTACACATGCACTCTACTGTTTCTGGCAAGGCAAAGTGATATACTACAAAAATAAACTCACAGAAGTATGATGCATGTAATTCACATGTTAATTACAAAATAAACATGCAGAGTGTACATGTAATTCTAGAAAAAAAAGCTTTGTACGCTAAAATATGGAGGGAACAAAAGCCCTCAACATGAGAATGCTGACATAAACTTATGGTTTGTGACATACAGATGAACTGAATCTCATAACTTGTTCTTAATGTCCATTATTATTGTCATCAATCCCTGTAAAAAATTAACTGTTTCTATTGATTAGAAACAAGACAGAACTTCCATGCATCACCAAAAGTTTAAGGTTTGAGATTTTGTATATTTCATGCCCTGTCCTTAGTCTGCAAAATGTGTGGCCACAGATGAAATAAATCAGACATAATAAAACATGACCTCACTCAACTGAATTGGGTAAAAATATGTGAATTTGTACTGTTTGAAGTACGATTTGCGTAAAATATCCTTCAAAAATTCAGATATTGTTTAGCTCCCCTTTGCATAACTTGACATGTTAGAAACTTCAAATATCACATTTCTTTCTTTATTGATGTTCTTCTGCCTTGACTTAGAACTACACAAACTAGTTTCCTACCAGAATTTTAACCCCACAAATGGCCTATTTGCAAAATAAAACTCCCACAACATTTTCATGCTACACAATAGTAAACATTCACTAAGTGAGAGAGATAACTGGTCACCTTTTACTTGCAGGATTCTTTGCTATTAAATTTGTGAAGCACTGCCTGTTAACTGCTATAAAATGAAAGGTGACACTGAAATATCTCCAAGAACATGAAAATATAGCATGATTGGTCCGGATGTTTTAGTGGCTATATTACATCCTAGAAACCCTGTCGGTAAAAAATGTCTAAAACTACTGCAAGTCTGTCCCTGACAGAATTTCCACAACATTTTGCATGTTATCTGTACAAAAAAACTTAGATCAATGTACTCAAGTAGTACACTACCATCCTCAAAACACAGCTGTCTGTCTATGTCACCGTATTCCGTCATCATCTCCGTCTTCTCGGTGACTCTGACCGTGAACGAGACCTCGATTTATGTTTCTTCTTCTTACGTGATTTATCTTTTGACGAGGAATGTTTTTCTGACTTGCTTTTGGACTTCGAGTTTGATCTGGATCTGGACTTATGACGAGATCGTTTAGGTGACTTGGAGTGTGATCTTCTTCTCCGAGAAGAATGAGACTTTGACTTAAGATTTGATGAAGATCGTGATCTTGATCGACGACGACTTGAACGAGAAGGCGATGCAGAGTGTGAATGCTTTTTACTACTTCTTTCGGGTGACTTCGACTGATCAGGTGAATGTGACCGACGCACTTTTGAGTGGGACAAAGAAGGCGAGGAAGAATGTCTTTTTCTCTTTGGAGGTGGCGACGAAGACCTTGATCTTGAGAAAGACCTTTCTCTTGTAGAGCGAGGAGTTTCTTCGACAAGTCTAATTTTCTTTCCCAAGAACTCCTGCTTGTCAAGCGACTCTAACGCGTTGATCATGTCCTCCTTGTTGGAAAATTCAACGACTCCTTCGCCCGGCCTTCTTCTGTGCGTATCTGCGAAAGTAACATCTCCCGCTACGCTCATAAACTCTTTGAGTTCTGACCATTTAGCTCTCGCCGGAAGGTTTTCGACGCGGATTCTAAAGTTAGTCCGCACTGGAGGTGGTTTAGGCTGGCGAACCCTTGCAGTGTATCCACCAGCTATGGTATAGCCCCCGACACCATTTCTAATATCTTTAGCTCTTTCGACGAGAATGTTTTGACCCATAAACTCCTTTCCGTTGAGTTCTTGCACAGCTCTGTCAGCATCGTTGTAGTCTTTGAAAACGGCATAAGCATATCCCTCCTTGAAATCAATGTCACGAATTTTGCCGAAGGATTTCAGCAAAGACTCTAAATCCTTTTCAGTAGCATTGGCAGGTAGTCTCCCACAATAGATCCTGCCACTCATGCCTGTTTGAAACACCTCCTAGTGTTAGAAGAATTTCTTTGCAAAATCTTACAAACCACGCTCCAAATTCTCCGCCATCACAAGCGTAAAACTATACTGCGCACGACAGTTCTGAAAGACCGCTGGCTAAGGAGAGGTTACTAGGCGCACGTGTGACACATCTATTTCTTTTGGCAGCCATGTTAGCAGTAAGAAAGATTTCATCAGTATGTTTTAGCAAGAATTTAAGCCGTGAATATCATAAGTTGTGCAGGCCATTTGAGTACTGTCACCGAATAAATAAGAATTTGTCGCCTCACAACAATTTTGATCGTTTCCAAGCGGCGATTGAGCCTCAGATACTGGGTGTTTTGATAGGACATCATAGAATCTCCACATCAGCTGATCGTTCTGCTTACAACAAGCTGCCATGGAAAGAGAGGTAATTGATGTTGTAAAGTGATCATGAGGTCATTTCTCTTCAAAGATTTGTTCAACAGTGGTGGCTCTTAAGGTGAACTTCTGACATCTCCCATACTATATATGTGTTGGCATAATTTATACTTGTACATTGTGGCGACAGTTTTGTGGCAAAATTCGTCGAATACTTTACCTGTGTTATGTAATCACAAAACATTCAGTAACGTTATTTTTAAACTATTTTATTACATATATTTTTTACTGCACAATTTTTTTTTTGTTACCACAGCATAATCAACGGTTACAAAATGGTAAATTAAAGGAAAGATCGATGACCTAGTCTCTATGTAATCAATGTTATCAGTTCTCCCATTACCCTATACCCGGCCCTCCTGCTGCAAGTAACTAACAATGCCATGCTTCAGTTGTGCTTATGCACATATAAGCAGCATTCTCATAAATAGTAGAGGCTTGGATTCTCAAGTAAAAATCATTTAAATTTTTGCAGATCAAATTCAGTATCCAAGCAAGTGGGCATCTAACCTTACCTAACCCAACATTAAGCAAAACATGTTACTAGTTGACTATTGTTGTGTTAGGGAAGGGTTAGGTGTGCAATACCTCAGATAACGACATTGATCCATTTTAATCTTTCTAACCATTTTTACTGCATTACAGCAGTAGGGTAGAACTAGAACGGAACAAATGCGAACCATGCGAGTAGTCCACCCACTAAATCCCACCCATCCCATCTATACATGTAGACGTTGCTTAAAATAGTTAAAAGCTTATTTCCATGTTAATGTACAAAATAAAGTTCATGTCTGTAATTTTTCAAATGTAGTTAGATACAATTTGTTCCAGGCAAATAACTAACATCCCCAGACAAATAAAACAAACTAGGCTGCGATCAATATTACATTCTTTACATTTAGAACTTAATCGTGGCCATAACTTACCAGAAAAACTTTATGAAGTTATTCATAACTAAGAGTGTATGAGTATTTTATGCACTCCGGGGCTGTGGTCTAGTGGAGCCCAGTGGCCCCTTGCGCCTTACTTTTGCTCTTAGGCGACTCTGGAATCTTAGTTTTTTCATAAAAAGCATATGCTGGTCACCCTGGATTTACAGTTTCAGAGCATTGCGTTCCCTTCAATTTTTCCTAGAGCACAGTCTTGCACATGGTCTTAACTCTTAACAGTTAGCACTTGAACTTTTTTTAGAGAAAACAATTTTGAGGAAAGCCATTTGGTTTTGTTTCCAAGAAGATACAACAAATCTCAGAATTCTAGTAGCCGAAGCGCAAGGTCAGTGATCATCCATGAATTCATGATGTAATGTAAGGTTGAATCGATAATTTATTCAGATACTGATAGTTGTACTACTGTGAAATTTATTTATCACCAATGTCGAGATAATAAAAGATGTCCTTTTGATACAGGCTGCAATTAATTGTGCAAAGATATTAAGCTTAAAATTTTGGTGTGTTTTGGTGTGAACCAATTACACTTGTACACTGGATGTCATTTGCTGCTAGATTGAATAACTGTTACTAGCCTCTAGAGTCTTAGCAAGCCCTGTTATGGTGGATTTTGAAGATAAATTTGATTACAAAATAATCTAAGGCAAAGTACAGAGTAGTTTCCACTCTTTATAGGATACAGTTATCTCAAAACATTATTCAGAAATTTATTTTGAATACTTCCACAGGGTCCATAAGTTTTGGGTCACAAAAGGATCAGTGTTAGTGTCTGGGACTGCTTTAATTTATATCTGTGCTTGTTGAAAGCAGGATTGTCTTACAGTAAAATTAATATGGAAAGTTTATTAAAATAAGCATTTCTATTGGTGTCTACTTTTTGATACAAAGTGCAAGGTTAATGTGGGTCTGCTTCATACAAGTATCATGGTCTTTTTTTTTTTTAAATGAGCTCCATTTTCATTTGGTATATGTTTTTTTTTTCTTCTTCTTCTTTTTTCGGTAACAGTGGTCAGTCCTCAGAAGGAGCCAGTGGCCATGGAAGTGATGATGGAGATGGAGGGGACAAAAAAGACGATGGAGCTGATGTGGTGATTGAAGATAAGACTGAGACCAAGGTTGACCCTGCTGCAGGGGCCTTGGCACAGGTCCATGTACCTGATGTGTTCCCTGAGGTGCCACTTTTACCAATTCACAGAAATCCAGTTTTCCCACGATTTGTTAAGATGATGGAGGTTTGTCTTCTTATATCACTGCATTAAATCTCTTATCTTAATCTTATTTGAATTACACTTTTCTTACTTTTTTCTGATCACCAGCTTATGAAAACAAACATGTTTTTTAAAGCATGTTTTTTCAGGCAAAGAGATGACTTTTCACACTGTTTTTCTTTCCCATCAAAAAAGTTACCATAAAAATTGGATAAATTTTTTTGACTGTTTAGTACATAATAACACTAATATAACTATCCACCTAAGCATGGCAAAACTTCCTTGGTATTTGAATTACAATGTTAGTGGTTCTCTTACAGGTACAACATGTAGCAAGGTAGTTTTACATTTTTGAACAATGATGTAAAATTGATTTTCACTTTCACTATTCTCTGAAAAAGGATGAAATAGAAGAATCTTTATTCTTGCATCCTAAATTCCACTATACCTGTTGACATTACCCTGCACTGTTCCTCAACAGATCACAGACAAGTCCCTGATGGAGTTAATCAGAGTAAAATCAAGACTTGCACAGCCTTATGCAGGTGCCTTTCTTAAAAAGGATGACAGGTAAAGTTTGAAAATTCATGAAAACCTCAGTTTGGGTGGTAAATTGAATAAATAACTGTATATGTGTTGCCAGTACTGTGCTTTGGTGTTTGTTGTTTGACCTACATTCATGTCCATCTAGATGTACCTCTTAACTCTTCACACCCAAATATCAGTATGCACTGATTCTCCATACTTTTAATATCAGTATGCACTGATTCTCCATACTTTTAATATCAGTATGCACTGATTCTCCATACTTTTAATATCAGTATGCGCTGATTCTCCAGACTTTTCTCTGTGTACACTTCCTAAGGTGCTGAATTAAGGAGGTTTTGTTTAATAACCAAGATTATTTTTTATCGGTGATCATTTTCTTTATTCTCCTGACCTCAGTGTTTGATTCACAGGTGACATTGTAAGGAGAAATTAGATGCTGGCCATTCTATTCTGTAATCATTTGTTACAACTTTACTTTTCTATCTATGTTAATTTTATGTAAATAGTGTGAAATAAATGAACCAATGAACCAATTAGGGTTTAGTAAGACTATATACCTTCATGCGATACTTCATTTACATTTTGCATAATTCATTCATGAATTCATTATTTGATGAATTTTTGTAGCAACGAGGCAGAAACAGTAACCAGTTTGGATGACATCTACCAAGTGGGTGCATTTGTGCAAATCACAGAGCTCTATGACATGGGAGATAAAATAAGAATGGTTGTACTAGGACACAGAAGGTTAGTACATGATTGTACAATTTCAGCTATGCTACTGTAGTGGCCTTAAAGTTCTTTTTGATTCATGTTCAATGTACATTGAACATTTGCTGTATAGATTGCTATTACCATCTGTCTTTGGTAAGGGTTATTGAGTGCATGTATCTATTTTTTTTTTTTTTTTTTTTTTTCTAATTTCAGGATTAAAATCACTGGAATCTTTGATTATCCCTCTCACAAAGAAGAACAGTCTGCTGACACTCCTGTCATTGCCGAGGCAACTCTTGACTCCATCCCACAACAAGAGGATGTTCCCAGAAAACCCATCCTGATGGTCTCTGTTGAGAATGTGCTCCATGAGCCTTTCAAAGTAACCGAGGAAGTCAAGGTACAGGATAATAGATTGACGTGAAGTGTAGATTATTGTTGGTTCTAGATTGCATTTTCCAGATTCTTTGTTTTGGAGTTTAAGTCAAGCAGGTTGGGAGCAGCACTGCTGAGTGTATCCACCAGAAAACTGACCACACCTCTCTGTTGTCTTTCTTTCATTACCTATCCCACCTGATGTCACATTTGGGTTGAGCTTTTTGTTAGTTCTCAGCGTCACCCCAAGGATTTCTGTTCAAGCTCTTTGCAGACCAGCACTCCAGACCCTAAATTTTCATCATGGGATTAGTGGATGAAGAATAACCCCATAAATGAGCCATTGCTAAACTAAAACTTGGACATCTTATGTTTTTTCTTATTTTTTTTCTTTTGCTTTGTTTAGCCACCCTGATTATTTAAGAAGAATTTAGATACTATTCTTTTCAGTTTAAGACTGACAACTTGATTGCCTGTTTTAAATGTTGAATCAATAGGCACTGACTGCAGAGGTCATCAAGACTATACGTGATATTATATCATTGAATCCTTTATACAAAGAGTTCTTGGCACAGCTTGTCGAAGGAGGCAAAAGAGTGGCGGACAATCCTGTCCATTTGGCTGATTTTGGTAGGGAGGCTGCAAGATTTAATATTATAATGTATGTTGCTTTGTTGTAAGTTTGTTGAAGAGAATATAATTTGTTTTGTTTAATGCCAATCCTAGGTGCTGCACTTACTAGTGCGGAAACTGCACTTCTGCAGGAAGTTTATGAAGAGACAAGAGTTCCAGTGCGATTGCGTCTCACTCTTGAACTGCTCAAGAAAGAACTTGCTATCTGCCTTTTGCAACAACAGCTAGGGAAAGAGGTGAACTAAACCATGAATTTTTAGGCAATCAGTTTAACCTAATTTTGCATTTACATGTACAATGTAAACCAAGGGTATAGTATATTCATCAAGCGTGTTGCTGATGCACTTTTTCAAACACATTTGAACATATTGCAGGGAAACCCCACACAGAAACTGCATGTAATGAATGAACACTTCCGCTCCCAAAGGAAGAAATTTACCCACAAAATTTGGGTCCTCTTTCACCACTAGAATTGGATTGGGAATTTTTTTGATTTCCCATCCTTTGTGCAAGAAGTTTTCCTCAGTTAATTCTTAGAGGGAGCTTGTTCATTTTACAGGTGGAAGAAAAAGTAAACAAACAACAGAACAAATACTTGCTCCAAGAACAACTTAAGATCATCAAAAGAGAACTTGGCTTAGAAAAGGAAGACAAAGAAGCAGTTGGGGAGAAGTTCAGGAATAGAATAAAGGATCTTAATGTTCCTAAACATGCTGAAGAAGTTATTGAAGAAGAACTGTCTAAACTGGCATATCTTGATGCTCATTCATCAGAATTTAAGTAAGTTAATTGATGAATGAAGGATTTTCAATAAGAACTGGCAGCTTACAAAAATCATTAGGTATCACACATATTTTTTTCTGCCCACTTGGATTGCACAATTACTCAAAAAAAAAAAAAATTGCCAGAGTTGTGAGCATTTCCAGTCATAGTGATTTGTTTCTATGTTCTTTGATCATTGGTTCACCTTGATTTTTGTTCTGAGAAGCCTTGCATTTACAGAAAATGATTCTTTTTCCAGAGGATAGGGAATGCGTGAAAGGAGGACCAATCTTTGGACTTTTCATTGTGAGAATTCCTTGAACCCCATCAGAAGCTTGTGCTTTTGATATGAATACAGTGCCATACCCTCCCTCTCCACCCCTATTCCCTATCTTTTGTCCCTTACATTGAACCATATTACAAACCCTGAGAGCTCCAGTGTACAGTATTGTATTGTTGCTTAAAATAGTGGTTTAAGCTTATTAATAGCTTTCTTTTCTCTAGTATGTATACTGTAAACTTCTTTTCGGTTTTTTCATTGTTATTAGTGTAACACGGAATTATTTGGATTGGTTGACAAGCATCCCTTGGGGAATTCACAGTAAAGAGAACTTCAATATTAGTCAGGCACGAGAAGTACTGGATGAAGATCATTATGGGCTGCAAGATATTAAGGACAGAATACTGGTAAGGTAATTATGTTAAAGTGAGTTGATGCAAACAGTTGCTCAAGTACATTTTCTGTTGCTCTCTCAAGTCTTGTCAAGAGGTTCTGGGCTCAACTTTGAAGTCAAAGTTGTTACTTGGTGGCCAAGGTGCAAAATGGTCCCTGTATGTCCATGTACATTTATGTACATGAACATAAATGTACATGAAGGCTTTTGTAATCGTTACGGTGGCCAAGTTACCATTTCAACTTTGTTGATATATCCAAATTATTTTGTTACCCCACCGACGCAGCCCCAAACAGTTTCTTTAGAAACTATCAGCCTTTATACATTTATGTACACCTATTATGTCCAGGCCAATTAACTTTAAGAATGCTACTTACATTCTTTTCTTGGCCTTTTTTTTCTTTTGTAGGAGTTTATTGCCGTAAGCCATTTGAATGCAACTGTCCAGGGGAAAATCCTTTGCTTTACAGGCCCACCAGGTACAGTTTAATTTAAGCTGCTTGTGGGATGTTGTTACTTACTGCAAGTTTTGCATGCAGTATGAAAGCTAAACCAAGAGTGAATTGAGATAATTTACAACTGTACAAACGACTGATTGTTTTGTTCTCATTCTCAGGAGTGGGGAAAACCAGTATTGCTAGGTCTATTGCAAGAGCACTCAACAGACAGGTACAGATTAAAAGCAAGTCTTAACACTGTAATTCCCAGGAGTGATCAAGACAGAATTTCACCTTTCCATATCTATGCAATACAAAGCAGACAAGTGATGAGAGTAAAGAAAAATAGTATAATTTCAGAACTGAGCAAATAGTTTCCAGCAATCTGATTGGTTGAGCGGTTCCTTATATGACACTATATAAACCACTCCGTGCAGTTTATATAAAATGTTAAACTAAAATGTTAATAAATGTCACTAAAATGGATGATTTTAGAAATTTCTCTGTTGTTCAGCTCAGAAATTATACTAAAACAATTATTTGCCTCAGGTTCTGTGAATATTGTCGAATAATCTCCTCGACTTTGTCTCGGGGATTATTTGACAATATTCACCTCGCCTTCGGCGAATAATTGTTAAATATCAATTAGGGGATTAATAGCTGATCTAATACCAAATTCTCTGAACTAGCATCAGAAGAATGTATAGCAGACTGTTAGGAGAATTACTAACAAGATCTTGGGAGTAAAAGGGTCAATGTACATGGAATGCTACAGAAATGATCAATAACACACACAGACACACACAATTATACCTTAAATACTGTATCAGCACAGGAAATTGCTTCTTTTTTTTTTCTCAAAGATTAGTCCATTGCTTTATGAAATTATACTACAGGTCTTGAATTTTCTTTAAAAAATGCCTCCAATCCCAACTAAATCGTCAAAATTTGACTTTTTTTGTACTGACATCTTCCAAAGTTAGGCGGAGCATAATTTGACTTAGCCTAGTTCCTGTGAATATCTCCTGTTCCGTATCTGTTGGAGTCCCCCAGAGTCGCGTAGAACTTGCCTACCTTATCTGCTGAAATCATTGTATCTTAATAAATCCTATTTTGAGCGTTAGATGTTGACTAACGGCGAAGTGGTTCCCAACGGTGAACTAGAATTGAAAAAAATTAGGGAGAAAAGAAGCCTGAAGAAATTTCAGGCTTTGAAAATGTTCCAACTCATCTCTCCTTGGGAGACACGCTACTACTACCTGAGGTACGATGCGATATGTTTGGAGCCGGGAAAATCTTAGTGGGTTCCTAGATCCTCGTAAAGGATTCTGAAAAATTCATGGTTTTGATATTAAGCTAAAAGTATTTATTTTGTCGTCAGTATTTTAGATTCAGTGTCGGTGGAATGACAGATGTGGCTGAGATCAAAGGACATAGGTTGGTTAATGAAAAATGTTTGTTAGGGCTGGTTTTTATCTGAACACGAGAACAGCCCTTTGGATTATAGTTCTTTTAGCGTAGCAAAATACCCACCGAGTGCGCTGAAAATTTTGTCAACATAGGTATGAGGTTTTATTTTCATGATTGTGATCTGCATTTCTTATGCTGCATGTGCAAAATTAACAACTGCACATATATTAAATTTTTGGATGAATTGTGCAAGACTAGCAGTTTGATGATGAGTATGAACAATGCTTTTCTTTTGCTTTGTTGTTCTTTTCAGGCGCACATACATTGGTGCAATGCCGGGAAAAATTATACAGTGTCTTAAAAAGACTAGAACAGAAAACCCTTTGATACTTATCGATGAGGTATAGTAGATGTACATGACATAAAGTAAACCTTGGAAATTCAATTCGCCACCGAAATGTCCTAACGTCAGTTAATGGGATAGTCCTCAATGCCACGGATTGTGAGGTAGTGCCGTTAAGCGGTTCTCCCTCACCGCTGCGGTCTTGAATCTCTGTCTTATCATTATTTGTGGGCTTTTGCTTGTTTTCGTCCATGGGCTGAGAATTCATTTTTCGTATTTCCCAGTTTTCTTCTGAGAAAGCGTAGTCGTACTTCAATTTTAATCTCAGGATGTATAAGCTGACCAGATGGCTAGTTTTAAAGAGGTTTGGCATGATACATTTAATTGAGTAGACACACTATAAGTGTAAATTCGCTTCTTAAACATATTAAAATGAAGTTTTGATCGAACTGAATGTATTATCAAACCTTTGTTGTTTTTAGGTGGATAAGATTGGCCGAGGTGTCCAGGGAGATCCTGCTTCGGCTTTACTTGAACTCCTTGATCCGGAACAGAATTCAGGTTTCCTTGATCATTATCTGGATGTGCCAGTGGATCTCTCAAAGGTATTAGACAGCTTGAGCCCTTGTTAGATCACTAATCTCCATTTTTACACTCGGCCCCAAGTGTATGAGGCGAAACGAGGTAATCTTTTCACATGCAGAGCGATAAAATACCCGCGAGGGATTTAACGAACGCGAACGTAAGCGGCTGGGGGTAGGTGAGGAAGATACTATTTTACCCTCCTCGCTCGTTCTTGCGCACACGTTCAAGTGCGAAATGGAACGTTGAACAACAGAAATAACGCAAACGTGGCACTTGCCTACAAGTGGTGTTGGTTAACGAAGACGTGTTTAAAAGGTCGTATAACGAGTTTTTAGATTTTTTGGTAGGTTTTCAAGTATGCAATGCAATCGTTGTACTAAGCTATTGTATTTTTTGTTTTGTTTTGTTTTGTTTTTTTTCGCATGTACCTGATGCTGTTGAAGATGATTCTCAGCGGGTTATATTCATTTGATGCTATTGATTTAGCAAATCGTTTCGTGTCATGAGCTTGAACCTGCCATGGTGTTGCTGGCGGTTCTGTGGATGCTCAAGTGGAGAACCAGCTCTGGTTAATTTTCTTCAACGTATTCTACCTTTTTTTCCTTTTTTTTTTCTTCTCAGGTTCTATTTATATGTACAGCTAATATTACTGACACAATTCCTGGTGCCTTAAAGGACAGAATGGAAATAATTAACGTGTCTGGATATGTAGAAGATGAAAAAAAAGCAATTGCCAAGGTTTGATATAATTGTGGTTTTTATTATTTATAGCTACTTATACGTCCTGCGGTGATCAGACCTTCCTCTGTCCCCTTTGCCGCCCCCAGTAAGGACCTTTTTCCCTCTGATCTTCAGAATTTGCCATCATCATCATCATCATCATCATCATCATCATCATCATCATCATCATCATCATCATCAAGCTTTTAAAATGTTGCAAAACAATGCGTTTAAATACAATGCAATCCGTCATAGAACGAAAAAAAAAAGGAAGAATAAATCACTAGACAGCACTAACTATCTACATGTGCGATCTTTCTTAGACGTATCTCATTCCCCAAGCACGAAAAAGTGCAGGTATTACAGAAGAACAAGTAGATATTCACGATCCGTCGCTGGCTCTTCTCATCAAAGCCTACTGCAGGGAAAGTGGAGTCAGGAACCTTCAAAAACATATAGAGAAGGTACTTTTATGTTACATTCAGGATTTATGCTGTTGTCATCAATTTTTTTTTTATGTTAATGAACTGATCCTATTTGGTTCGACTGACTCAGTTTGCCCATTACCACGTCTATCTCGGAGACACTCTTGGCAATTTTATGCGCCAATCGCAGCGATCTGACATCTGACAAACCAGATATTGGCGATTTTCGCTGGCGACCAAATTCGCTGCGATCGGCAAATAAAATTGTTAAGTGTGTCGCCGGCTTTAGAGAGTATGAATCAAAAGCAGGTTTTGATGGTACGGAATATGTATTGATACACACACACGGGCGTCATTTGTAAACTCAGGGATTTCATTAGAAGCTAGTCTCCCCGCAACCGGCAACCGACGAATTCCGGCGACTACTCTCCACAACGGATACCATGGCCACTCCACCTACCGGTTTTTGCGTTTTTTTTTGGAAAACTTTCAATATGCTCTAAAGGCAGTCATCAGGAAAGGTGTTTTTTGTTGATATTATGTCTCCTCTTTGGTTGTTGAGTGATGAACAGAAGAGAGAGACTGGTGACAAATCCGCCTCGAATGTACAGATATTAGATTATGGTATATTTAGTAAATAAACCCCTTCGGGCGGCTGGTATGTCGGCTGATAATGTCCGCGGCTGAGAGATTGTCCGAAAAATGAATATTTGGCCGAGAAGCGAAGCTTCGAGGGCAAATATGAAATTTTGAGGACAATCTCTCAGCCAAGGACATTATCAGCCGACATACCAGCAAGCCAGAACGGGGTTTATTTATTTTATAACCCTCCCATTAATTTTCACATCGCAATTAAACTGCGCGTGAACACAGTAAAAAAGCCAGTGGGGATCTGATGGCGAATGCGCGTGATCGATGCAAGCAAACAAAAAAAACAAAAAAAAAACAGTTTGGTTTCCTTCCATGTAAATTGGAGAACGGAGAAGTTGAAACTCTTGTGTTGACTATGTATCTTTTTCACGGAAAAAATCGGAAGACAAATATCGACGCGGACGGGAGATATTACGTGATAACTGTCCTGTGATTTTGCACCATGTGACGTAAAGTAACCAATAAAATCGCGCCAAAATTAATGGTTGAGTTACAAGTCCTAATATACGCCTACTTCCGAAATTAATGAAATACATGTAAACTTCACTCAGTTTGTGATGTGCCAAGTCATCGTGATGAAAATAGTGTTAGGACCTGAATTTCAGAACGCGTACTACATTTCTTTTCCTGGCATCATGTAGAACGCGTATCACATTATTTACATGCTAAAACACGTAACCCATATCGCCCATAAGGCCCCTTCAGTTTGGTGGTAGAATAAACTCGTAAGCTACCACTAAAACTGTTGCCATTTATGAAGATTTAAAACTTGGTTATGAGTTCTTTCCCAAGTCAGAAAGTGATGTTTCGGGTGTGGCCAATAAAAAGGTGTGGTCGCTCAAGAGGGTTTCACAGTATCCATGGGTGTGGGAAGGGTCATCAATTCAGATTTCAGTGTTTTCCTATCACTTCGTTCCTGACAAGAGATTCAAGTGTATTTTTTCGAAGCACTGCCAAGTTTCATGTGATTGATTTCTTTATGTATTTCCTGTTGACAGATCTTCCGCAAAGCTGCTTTGAGGATAGTACAGGGTACTGAGGAAGAATTGAACGTTACAGAGGAGAATCTTCACGAATACGTCGGCAAGCCACTGTTTAACAGTGACCGATTATATGATGAAACCCCACCAGGGGTAGTCATGGGTCTAGCCTGGACTTCACTTGGTATTTAACCACCCCTCCCTGCTTTGTGATTATTGAAAAGTTATTATTTTTAAGTTTGAAAAGTTTATTTTTGCAAGTTATGAAGTTCATTCATTTGTTATTTTTAAGAATTAATGCTGCACAAGTGTGACATCATGGCTAATTTGTAATGTTGTAGGTGGTACTACCCTCTACGTCGAAACTTCGCTGAACGAGTCATCCTCTGGCGATGACAGCAGAGGTCAACCTTCTCTTGAAGTAACAGGCCAGCTAGGAGATGTGATGAAGGAGAGTTCACGAATAGCGTACACATTTGCAAAGGTTTGTTTACTGTTTGCATTAAAATGCGGAAATCCCTCTCTTCACGATTTCCACTCTTTTGTTCCCGCTCTGCCCCGATCAAACACATCTTCCGATTTCATTTCTCACTTCACAGTTCCTACCTAATACAATACACTCACTTGGCCTTTGTCGCACTTTCCAACGCTAGTTTTTTCTCTGGTCGCTTTACATAACGTTCTGATAAGAATGAACTTCATTGGTGAGAAGTAATATTTATGCAACATGAGACCTGTCGATACCTACAGATTTTCATCTTGTAATTTCTCTTTCAGCAATTTTTGTCGAAAGAAGATCCAAACAGTGAATTTTTTAGGCATGCTTCTATTCATCTTCATGTTCCAGAGGTAGGTTGTGTGCTCTCCAGACTGTTCGCAGCCACTTCTGGGAGGTGGGGGAGTACGTTAATTATTTTTGTTGTTGTTGTTGTTGTTGTTTCATTTGTCGCGGGAGTTACGAACTTACCATATGGGTCAAAGACTTTTGGAAATTTCGATCGCCGGTTTCCGAGTTTCTTTGGCATGAACTACTTTGAAAACAACATCTTCACTGCCAAACATAAAGTTTTATGTCCTGCCACAAGGTCACAGATGGCGAGAAACAGGAGTAAGAAACTTTCTACTATCGTCGAGAAATCTTTGTTGTTGACATATTTTTCTGGTTTCATCTTACTGCGACAGCTGTATAGGGACTAGTATAGAGACTAAATAGTGATAAAACCCTTTGGTGCTTTATTTGGTGATTGTAGGGAGCCACCCCTAAAGATGGGCCATCCGCTGGCTGCACCATTATCACAGCGCTCCTATCTCTGGCCAAGAACACACCAGTTAGACAGAATATTGCCATGACTGGGGAAGTATCACTCACTGGAAAGGTGTGTTGTGTTCTTTATTTAAACAACAAATAACATTGCTGTTAGTTGCGGCCATTTTGGTCGCCAAATAGTGGGTGATCTAATTTGCAGTGCAAGTCAATTATTTGGCGACCTATAGGAACAACGCGAGTCTCTGAGAAATGACGCACCCACCCGTCCCTAACCCAACACTAATCCTGAGTTGGTATCAGTAGACTGTTGTTGAGGTATGGGAGGGGAAGGTGCGGAGTTTCGTACGGGATCGATATTCCAAGGATGAAGTTTAATTTATGTCGTTCTCCTCTTTCCTTATCAGGTTCTTCCGGTCGGAGGAATAAAAGAGAAAACAATTGCGGTGAGGAATAGAATTTGTCGTTTACATTAAACACCCGCATACAAGAACGCCCATTTCCGGGGTTCAGGCTGATTGGGTTCTTATATATCGGGTATTTTAGGTGAAATCAGCCTGAAAGTGTTCTCAAGTGTTCTTAATTTTTTACTTCTAAAAAAATGTAAGGGATTTACTAACTATGATGAAATACATAACTTATAATTGTAATTATAAGACTTTTACTTCCAAATACAGTTGTTATACATTTGCTATACACAGCAAGTGAAATTACTAGCATTTATACTGAGATCTTACTGCAATACCACAGTAAAGCTACAGACACTGTTTGTTCTATTAAACTGAAAAGGGAAGAGTTTTTATATATAAGAACAATTTTCAATTTTCAGGCTGAATGTGTTCTTATATATATATGCTGCTTTTTTACCAAATTTCAGCCTGGGTGTTCTTAATCCACATGTTCTTGTAAGCGGGTTTTCACTGTAGTGTGTCAAATGGATCGTAATGAGATCAGCTGACGCTCAGATGGTGAAAGCTTGCTATTGGCACGAACTATCTTTGTTCTGAATGCCCTTTAGAGTACCTTTTTTTTCCGTGTCACAAAACTCAGTCAGAGTGCTCGTCATCATTGAAACAAGCTTACATGTAACTCGAGTGTTATTTTTCTGAAACTCGAGAAAAAACTTTTGCTCATAATGCTTACTATCTTCGTTACAGGCCCGACGTGCGGAAGTCGACTGTGTCATTTTACCTGAAGGAAATCGTAAAGACTTTGCTGATCTACCAGAGTTTGTCAAAGAAGGACTTGAAGTTCACTTTGTTTCTCATTACACTGACGTTTATCGAATTGCTTTTGAGTCATGACATCGGCTCCACTGCGAGCGGAAAAATCGTTCGGAAGTCTGTAGTGGAATACCTTGATTATTATTTTAACGATCATTGACATCACTAGAAGTGATTCTCTCAAGTTCCATCTACAAACGAAACGGCCATTTTTGCACTGAAGAAAGCAACATGTACGTCTGAATATCATGGAATGCTTAAGCAACTATACAACACCTTCTTTGTAGAATGACGTTTTTCTAAGAATACGATTGATTCCAATACGAAAGAGAGTAACACGAGAAGCGGTTAGACTCCAAAGGTGCTGGGATTTTTTCGTTAAAAATATCAAGCAGCTCGTTACCTCTCGATATCTCTATAATTGACGCCAAGTGGTTGTCAAATGTGCAGTGAAGAGTCGTTATCCTCAACCTCATGCGTTCAAGATATCAGTTCGCCCTTATCAACTTTGCGAGTTCGCCCTCTGAAGTGAAACAAATTCACCCCCCCCCCTCCCCCCTCCCCTCCGTCCACTCTCTAATGTCTCAACTCGTGGTAAAACACTCTTGGTAAATAGTTAATTAAGGTTTTATGGGCCCATCGTCTTCGAGCGACTTAGCGTGCACTGTTCGTCAAGTGTTTGTCAAAGAAGAATGCATGTCGATTTCAACAGAAAAGGAAAATGTTCTGTGATAGGGATATGAGTTGAAACATTTGGGGGCACATTCATTTGGTCATCGTGGGAGCGAAATTGTTTTACTTCACGGGGCGAACTTGCATAAACCCAAGTGAAGCTCTTCAAACGTTGCCAACTAAGATTAAATTGTTTGTTTATCTCAAGATGGAGGACTGTAGCTTGAGATTATTGGAAGTTTGTGAGATTTAACTTTAGAGGAACTGGGACTCCTCGTCAATGTTATCCCCACACTTTGCTGAAAATGTTTCATCAAGCAGTAATAGTAACATTCCGATAGTTATCATCGGGTAACTTTCTTACGAATCAATTTTTCAGTTATTTCCCCTCGAGCGTTATCTGTCATTTAAACCCCGTCGTAGGAGTATGTAAAATGAACAGTTATTAAGCTTGTTACAATACAATGCCTCTCTCTCACGTTTTCCCATTTGGGCGTTGTTTTTTTAACGTTTGTTCAGTAAAATGAGTCACGATGCCCAAGGTCTTAGCGGCGGTAATTCTCTTGTATTTTCGCGGCGGAGAGGAGGTGGGGGGCGGAGGTTTTTGGTTGTCACGATGAATTATACTTGATCCACTCATTAGACTAGTATTCTGATGATTTGCCTCCCTCATTGGCAGTAAATAGACAGTAAATTTTTCAACGCCTCTCCCTCTCCTTTATACTCTGTTGGAGACGACTAACCCCACCCCCCCTCGTGCCACTGAAAACCAGACCACTCCGCCATAAATCCTTCTACCACACGTCCCCTTTCCTTTTTCACATTTACTTTTTTTTTTTTCGGTAAACAAAATACCTTTATATTTTACACTGAAGGCAGCGTTCTGTCAGGTTCAAAGCTTTGCAACCTTCAAATTATTGTTTCTTCCTGTTTTGAAAAGAGTCGTACGAGATCTTTCTCTCGTCTTTGATTGATCACAATTCAAAACTCATTAAATTCAACTTCAAGAAATACAAGTGACTTTACTTTAAAATATTGCAATCAATGACCCCTTCCCACACTAGAGCGCTTCGGTCTTTGAAACCTTGTGGCCCAAAACAAGGACATTTACAACTCTTGAACACGTAACATATGCTACCCTAGATGACACATTGAAAGTTTGTGTGGTGATCTAAGAGTTACAATATTATATAGGTGATACAAAAGTTGCGATTGCCGTCTTGAGTTTTTTCAAATAAAAAAGTCTAAAACAACTTTTCTTGAAATAAAGTTGAACGTTAAGGAATAAATGCGTTCTTTTCTTATCCGTTTTTCTATTAAAAGTGCAAATCCTGTAAAAGTTACGAGAAGAGTTATAAAATTAATTGATTTTCAGTTACAAATAATAGACCAGCTATTACTATTTGTAGCTACGGGCAAAAATTCCTAGCTTTAAAACCAAACCAGAGCTTGCTGGTGTAAACAAATTTAACTACCTTTTTATTGTTCATTTAAATCAGTTGATCGACATTCTCAAAAAAGTAGTCTCTTGGCAAATCTCGTGAAATTGTTAAACATAACCGATTTATTCTACAAATATTGTAAAATAAGTTTGGATCGATCTTGAAGCAATATTCAATTTAGCGTCGAGAGCTATCCAGGATTTCAATAATATTTCTTTAGTAGATTGCGTGATTAGTGTGAAAAAGTCGCGCTAACATCCTAACCAATCAGATTCGAACCTACAACCAATCACCACAACTTTGGTCACCCGCATTTTCCTGCACTTTTTCTTAGCTCTTTTTTCCCACACTATTTTCGCACCCTTTTTTTCCCTGCACCTTTATTTCGCGCACTTTTTTCCCGCACTTTTTGCTTCGAGTTCTGATAGGCCTCCTTGAGATATTTCCTTTTTTATGATTGGCTGTAGTGATTACTTTGGTTTTGGGTACTCGGCATTCAATCAAAATGCTCTCTATGAATAACCTTGCTCAAAATTTGAAATTATACACATGCATTGAAAATATACTTGAGGATAACTTTTATTGTCTTCTCGTGTTAAACACCGTGCAAGCTTCCTATGCTTTTCGACAGATCACCATTAGTTCTTAAATCGAAAGCGAAAAGTATAAGTGGCTGATCATTAATTATGTCAGCAAATATCTTTGAGAAAATTATTATCCCTTCATTACGAAATATACATTACATTTACTGCTATCGTGTTGTGTGCGACGCAATACTTGATCAAAAAGTTGAGTTAGCAAAGTTTTACAAAACCTTACAGGTAACATTTGTACAAAACTTTATAACGAAAGTTCAGCTTAGGCACTTTTGCCTCAGCTGGGAGTGTTTATAAGAAATCATTATGTTGCTCTTCTTAAGTGAAACGAAGACTCTGAAAGCAGTGTGTTAAAAGTTATTTTGTAAAGCCCCGCCCAATAAAAGCCTACCGTTTCTGCAAACCAGTAGTTTAATAAAGTATTTGAAATACCACACCTAACTTCCAGAAAAGAAGTCGTGGTGTAATCATCAAATGAGTCAAACAAGTTCCCTAGACATACTAACATACTCGATTCAGGTAGCTGCGGTTTGCAAAAAGGTTAGCCGAAACAAATCGTTACTAGGTTCGAACAGTTATTGCCTGTGAACAGGGTGTGTTATCGTGACCTGGCTTCCCGACGAAATGATTGGCAGAGCGTTGTTTACATGGTAAACAACGAGTTCTTGAACACTTGAAAACTCGCGATCTTTTGTACGAACCTGTGGAAGACAAAAAACATGAGGAATCGAAATGGAGTCAAAAAGGCGACTTTCGTGGTTGAAGGAACCATTATCAATTGCAGGGCCTCAGTGAAAACCACACAGGCGAGTAGGCTCACTGGATAAAGATCATCATTATCAATTACTGGTCTGAACTAAAAAAAAAAAACGCATCAAAGCAACGGGACTTAATGAGGTTGTTAGGGTTAGGGGTCCGCCGGAGACAGAGAGTGGAGCTCAGGTCTTGCCCCGTAAACAAATCCTCGGCCCAAAAACAAGTTAGGTAGTACCAATTTAGTGAATTTCATATTCTACTTATCGCAATACCTAATTATATGTAGATTTAACCTGTTAATTAAGCGTTTTTGGCTGTAAAAACTGTTGAAACAGGATTGCAGAAATTGATAAATTCCTTGTGTGGTCGTGGTTGCGAGCAGGAGAACCACCATTTATTATTCAACTACACTTCGTAGAGTGCAAATAACGCCATAGGCGAGTACAAAATATCACGCGGTATTTGTACTGTAGAGTACCGGTTAAACAGGTTTTCCCGCATCGCGCAAGCGAAGGATTGAATTGTAGTTACAAAAAAAGAATGGCAGACAATTTAAATCATATTTCTGACGACGAAGAGTCAGAATGGCTGGCAAATATACTTCCAAGTTTATTGGGTGAATTGAACGAAGAAAAACAGCTAGACGACCTGGAAATTTCTTCATTTATCGAAGAAAAAAGAAACAGCAACACGACAACGCGCCCATTCCGTTCCGCTTCGCATAGTTCTGTCACGCACTTCCCGTAAATAAATATCCGCGAAATTCGCCCGCCCTGAAATAACAGTTTGGCGTGTTGGATAATAAATAACTTATTAGACGTTTTGTTGTGGAGTATCGCTGAGTATTTTTACTCATTATTTGTATTTTGACTCGCCCTACGGGCTCGTCGAAATACGGCACAACTCGTAAAAATACTCAGCGATACTACACAACAAAACGTCTAATAGGATATATATATTCCTCCGCTCCTAGACGAGACCCTTCTCTCTAACACAAACGCGGTACTTCCAACTGGCCTGCTTTCAAGTCTTTTTCGTTTCCTATATGGCGAAAGAAAACTTGAGGAAAGCGGGAGCCGCACGAGGGCATGGGGCGACAGAATTCTTTCGTGCAACTTCAGGCGAATTTACGACAAAAGCAGTGAACGGATATCGGGAACTTTCAAGACCAATAATCTTTCAAAAATACTGGACTTGCTAGCAGTATCCCATCCAGGCACCCTTAACTACAGTTTGCGATGGAAATTAGAGCAAAGTAGTGTCCTGATAGTTACCAACGTTTTACTATAACAGCATCGTCTTAAAAATATCCCCACAGTGTGGTAACAAGTTATACAAACCTTGCCTTCTGGATCCACCAACAATAAATGTCGCGGCTGTCCATTTTGAACTCCAGACAGCACATACTGTCCTGCCTTTGATTTACTCTCTCTTACCAAGAAGTCCCCTTCATCTTCCAACAGGAGTTCAGCTTCGGCACGAGACATTGGACCGTGGTACCACACCTCTGATTCAAGAGGGGTGGATTGAGTACCTGTGATGGATAAGATCCCATGAAAATGTACATTCTTGATACAAATGCCACAAGAAAACTACTCAGCCTAACAAACCTCCACATTTCCCATTCTTGTCGGCAAAATTCAGCTTAGATATCAGGCCAGAGTTTTCCTGACAAAACCATTGCATATATCAGAATAACCTGAACTTCACCGATTGTCCATTAGATGGTCAATAAACGTTCGAATTTTCTTTTTAGTTGAAAAGTCCGCCAAAGAAATACCTTTCTTCGCTAGTGGCAGTTTTTAATTGGTGAAAATGAGCACAGAGCGCGAGATCGACAGAGTTTGCGCTTATTGGCCCTTAACACCCTAGCATCAGTATTCATATTCTCCATGCTGTTCTCTAAACATTTCAAACGATGCTGACAAGGAGAATTTGTTTAACAATCAAGAGAGCTTCCCGTGACCTGAATGAGTGATTCAGGGGGGATATTGATACTGAAGAAGAAATTAGATGTTAGTCATTCCTAAGGACCAAAGGGTGAAATTCCTCTACTTTTAAATTTCGCATGCGCTCTGGACGACGATAAAAAATAAACAGCCAACGAACAAACTATTTCCAGGTTACACTAGACATGTACCTTCCGTTGGCGCTGATTGTTGCGGCTGGTACTGTGACTGTTCTTGTTGTTTTTCTTTCTCTGACTTAGAAACAGCATACGGTTTTGGTACAGGGGGCTTTTTCCTTGGGGTGGGGCGTGGAGTTAGGTAGTCATGGCTATCCGGATTAGTTGCCGCTGGGGGTGGGGGAGGTGGCATCTCCCCATCAAATGTTGCCCACTGATTCTGTCGCTCTAGAGATAAAAACAAAGAAATGAACATTCCACCAACAGTATCCATCGCTGGATAAATGAAATGAATGTAATGTGTATACATATAATAAAAAAAAACTCGCAAGTCAGACAGTACCTAAATAGAAGTCTGTCCGTGGTTTAGAAGATTTTGAGCTCGAAAACTTTTGTTATCTGAACTCACTAAGCTATCATACACAAGACATAAATGTTTAAAAGTTTACTCGTTAGGAAATAGAAACCAAACCATGCTTCACGCACTGAAAAGAAAATTCCTGCCAAAACACCGTCAGCCAAAATTGAAAGCCGAAACAAATATATTGAAAAAAGCTCTACATTTAACAAGAGAGTGTCGGGAGACTTAAAATACACACCACCCACACAGAAGAAAAAGTTCTCGAAAGCTTGCCTTAGAAAGATATGAGGCGATTTCTAAAAGAAAGTCGCCTTGTTTTGTGCATAAAGGGAAGTATTTTTAGAGGCAGAATGTTCTACTGAACAGACATGAAACAAAATTATTCACCACCAGATCCAGAACGTGGGGAGGAAGGGTTATCGTAGAGTGAGGAGTCTTGCAAGTCAAGTGGATGTCTCTCCAAGCTATCACTTCTATCAGGTACCCTGGGAGTAGCAAGCGGATTCTCGTAGAAGGCGGCACCGTTAGGATTTTCATAGCACGCTCCTGCGGCGAACATCAGGCTACCGGACTGGTTCACGCCATTTCTGCTATTGGATCGCTCTGAAGGGTGTTCATAGTCACCTAAAATTGAAAGGAGAGATCCACTCTATGATGAGCAATTTTGTGAACTAAAAATTCCGGGAATTTTCAACGAATTTCGAGGACAAATTTCCCATTTCTCGTTTACTCTTGGCCCGACTTTGTCAAAGCGAATCACGAGACGCTAACACTAAAAACGTCAACAAAAGAAACTCTCTACGGTGGCTAATTCACATTATCAACTCAGTTGATAAAACTTAATTACCTTCAAAAGCTTGTTAAAAAGTACTTGTACTCAACACTTCTTTTAAAAGTGATAACATGGTCCACATCACCACAAGCCATACCTCTCTCTTTGATCTTGGGCGCTTCGTAACCCACCAGAGATCCTTTGGGGACATCGTAGCCATGTGCATTCGTCAGTCTGTTGGGGTTGTCATAGTCTCCAAGCACATGTGATGATGTGTTTCTCAGTGCCGTGTAACCAGGTTGCCGTGAATCAATTGGAGCTTCATATGTATGCGATGGCAACTGAATAGAAGTGAAAATAAATAAGTCATAAATGTTTGTTTTCGAGCAGAGCCCCCCCCCCCTCCAAGCGACCTTCAAGTAATTTCCTGCAAAAATCAATCCATTTGACTCATGTCTAATAACGTCTCAATGTGTCTTAATGCAAAAAATTTTCTTTTTATGCAAAGCTTAATTTGTGTCTGCTCGTCTGCAAAAAAAACTTAGATGCTTTTCTCGAGCAGTCAGAATGTGATTTCCTTGCAAAACTTGGCAATTACATGACAAGACAAATATTGAACTCAGCTATTATATGGCCCATGTGGCATTCCCTGATATTAATCCCTTAACGAGGAAGAGAAAAAAGAACTGATAAATGTAGGAACTGTGCATAAAAAAAAAAAAAAAAAACTGATAAAGAAGCTTGACTCTTAAAAAATAGGCTCATGCTTCTCCTATTTGGCGTTTGAAAAAGAAAGATACTGCTAAGCAGAGGCTAGTTAATGCAAAATGGTTATTCATCAATCTTTTTGTTCATCATTTGTTTGCTGTATAACCTAACAGACTATTTCCTTTCCATCGACAAATCATGGTATTTTGCTCAACCTCCCCCAATACTTGGTGTAATAATTATAATAGTGTTTCAATTTCCAGTATTATTGACCGAATCAAAATATGGCGTCCAATTTGAATTGACATTGTTCTGGACTGACTAGCCTCTCAGACAAGTGATAATCCTTTTGAGTTTCCACGTCAAGACGAGGCTACACAGTCCTACGCAATGGTAATTCAAATTGGACGCCATATTTGGATTCGGTCAATTGATTTCAACTAGTTTGGCAATTCAATATACTTTCAGCAAACAAATATAGAATGTGTTCATACTGGTAATCCGTCATTCTTTGGCTCTTCATACTCCATTTCATAGGTATGTTCTTCACTCTCATCAAACAATGTATCTGAAAATCTATTATAACATAACCAAAGTAAAGCGCACGTTCTGATTGGTCAATTTAGCGTGTCCCCCATTTGCCCATGGGTGTACGTTGCTGACGTGAGCAAATGCAAAGACTATTTTTCCGCGTGCACTTGTTTTTTCTGATCACGTAAGATTTGTTAAATAAAAGGGAACTCTTTAGCTACAGTGTATCAATGTTATGTTATAAAACAAAATTAATGGTAAACACCACAGCGTACACTATTGAGTTATGAATGCACTTGGGAGGTTTGCTAAGCACTCAAGAAGCTAGAGTCTCTCTCGGCTATTGCCTCGCGCGACTCTTACGCTTCTTTCGTGCTTAGCAACCTCCCGCGTGCATCCATAACTCAATAGTGTACGCTGTGGTGTTTACCATTTGTTAATTAGCAAATAGTTTGAATTTCACTCATTGTATCTAATTATACATTCAAACAATATTGAATGAATAATAGTATTATTATTGGTGACAAATGTAAGGGGCTGCAACAAGATGTCTCTGAAGCTGTAACTTCCCTAAAAAGCACCTCTAAACCAATTGATACTATGTACAAAATCAAAATAACTGTCCACATTTGATAACATGGAGGTGTGAAGTAATGGTATTCTTGTCTTCTTTTTCAAAGACATTAGACTTAACAAATGATTTTAAAATATTACTAACAATAAGATATGAGAAAATGCTTAATTGCCATCTAAATATTAACACATGTCTAAAACATTGTGCCCTTATGAAAAACAACATGCGCTAAAAACATTTACCAGATGAGGGTAATTTTTACCCGAATTGACCAATCAGAGTGCTTTGTTTGTTTCAGTTTACCGCCGGGTAAAGTTTACCCTAGTGGGCTAAACTTACTATTAGCAATTCGCTCGTTAGAGCCCTTCTATGGGCTGTATCGACACAAAATAATTACGTTCTTTCGATTGTGTCTTCTTAGAATCGAATTTCGCGATTTGGAGTTGAAAAAGGTGCAAAACCGATCAGCTTATATCTAGGATGGCGCGATTTTGGATTTGTCGGGATTCGAAAATTGACACGGCTATTTGCAAAGTCATGTTTGTTTTACCCTTATGATAAAATATTGTTGACATGAAGGTGTTTTATTGACAGGTTTTAGGTGACAAGGATCGCTTTCCATTCAACAAAAATCACGGGTTGAAAATGTCGGTATTTTCACTGGCCAAATGGAACGCGTCTGACCGTATCTAAGAGGGTACACTCAAAACGTATTCCTAAATTTTCGAAAACTTATCACGGAACTTTTCTCGTTCCATTCGATTTCTGACCGGAAATCTCGAAAATTTTGGTCAAATGGAAAGCGCCCACCGTGACACATGTAATCTTTAACCATCTTGGTGACACATGTAATCTTCAACCATCTTGGTGCCACGTCACGCTCTGAAACCGGAATCCACAAACATCTCAAGATTGTCACTGTAGCCTAAACCATTTTTAAGTTCTGGAATAATTCTAGTTATAAAATGTCACATTGGAGAACGAGGTGACGAGCGTGTACGGCACTTTCTAATTGCAATTGTTTTTTACTTCCTTTTGTTGACTGCTCGGACAATAGTCGAAATAATAGAATAACTGGTAGTTTCAATGTCGAAGTGGGTGCCGGCGTCAGAGCTTGATGGAAATACTAATAAAACGACTTGAAATTAACGGTATAAAACGGGTTGGTGTGGCTTTTTAAAGGAGAATTACGATTTTTCCAACTTGTTCAGTTTTGAAGGGCTTTTGGGAAACAACAACAGAGCCCCCCCCAAATATTTTTCTTGAGTTAAGAAAACAACGTTTACTCCAAGTGGCACCATTTTTTACTAACACTTCACTGCTGCTGAATGCACTGAGAAAAAAATATTTCCATGAAGTAGTACTTGATCGATATCTTGGCAACTCCACTCGCGAATCGGCAAAAATTGTTCGCATAATAGAGCAGCCAAACACATAAAAATCTCTTGTCCTCTAAGAGTCATCACTAAACCGTTCAAGACCTTGATGAATACTTCCACAAGCAATTAAAGACATCTATTTTAAAAACTCATCTCGTCTATCGTGCCCTTGATTTCGAGCAGAGCGGGACGGCTGTCTACCGATATTTCCACGTGCATTCTACGTGATGTCATTACAAACATCCCGGATATACAACACGCAATCGACTGCGCATGTCTCCGATCTAACATCTTGATGAAAACAATATACCTTCGCGGGTGTCTTTCCCAAAAGAAATTGTCAACGNTATTTTGCGTCGATACAGCCCATAGAAGGGCTCTAACGAGCGAATTGCTAATGGTAAGTTTAGCCCACTAGGGTAAACTTTACCCGGCGGTAAACTGAAACAAACAAAGCACTCTGATTGGTCAATTCGGGTAAAAATTACCCTCATCTGGTAAATGTTTTTAGTGCATATTGTTTTTCATAAGGGCACAATGTTTTAGACATGTGTTTATTGAAAAATTTGACAAGAAAGGGGCAAGTTAAAGTTGCCAGCACACAAAGGATGATATGGGCTGCTTTACAAGTAGTCAGGTACATCTGAGGTAAAAGAAAGGACGAGAAAGATGTTGAATGTGTACTGTAGACTTTACTAGACATGTTTCTACTGTTGAACATAGAACAGCCATGTGCTCTGTCAATGAAGTTTACCTTTCAGGAACCTCCGTGGCAAGGGGTGGATTCTGTAAGAACATCTTAAAACGGATTTCAAAGGCTTGTCCTAATGTGTTGATCACATCGTAAGCTAATCCTCCTCCACAGTCCAGAACAAAACAGGCTGATACAAAGTAGACGTGTTTATAAGCAAGTTTTAATAAAGTGCATCATATGGAGCACATCTACTTACTAAAACAGTAAAACAGCTAGAAAAAATTATTTGTATCTAACAATTAGTAAATTACAGCAAATACAAACTATATATAGATAGGGTAGCCACACTTGACATCGAGAAGCAAAAATCTACTGTATGTGTTTGTTTTTCATTGTAAGTAACTTATCAGTCATCAGTGGCATGTTACTGAAAACTGCTGTAAACACTCCTATTTGAATGTCCATATCAAGTAAGAAAGTGAGCTAGTCTGTATATAGGCATGTTCCACAAATTTAGAAAATATACTTTTCTGTGATTCAAAAGAAGCAGTTTTACCCTTAGGCTAACAAAAAAAAATCAGGTTTACATAAATTTGCTAAGATTCAATTCATGTTGTAACACTACAACAGTACTATAAAAAGTATAAATTATGAAGTAACATAAATAAAATGTATCTTTCAGACTTATTCTTGAAGACAATTCTTCCTAATCTGTTATCTACAAATGAAAAAATTACAAACCTCTTCCATTAACTTGATCCTTTGCCACATATCCTATCATATCAATGCAGTCCTATAAAAAAAATTATGTTCCACAAAATTATTATTTTTAGCTTGGCTCTATGGTCTATGACACATGGCAGTACATTCTACAAACTTTAAGACTGTTTCAACAACAAATGAGGATTTTCTTCTTTTCTTATGTTCCACAAAATTATTATATTTAGCTTGGCTCTATGATCTATGACACACGGCAGTACATTCTACAAAGACTGTTTCAACAACAAATGAGGATTTTCTTCTTTGCAAATGGTGAAAAAATTATTGGTAACTAGCAATTGTGTGTTTGGAGAGGCACCAAAGACACCCTCTAAAGATGCTAATTAAAGGGATTTTAGAGGAGTGTCACTATAACAGGCTCCAAAAACCATATAATTTAATTAATCTCTACTTTGAAAAGTACATGTATATTAAATGTTAGTCAAATCCACAATATGCAAATATGGTTTGGCTTAGAAAGAGCTAAATTCTAATCTAATGAAATTTGCCTTTGAAAGAGACAAAGGTTTGCTGTGTTTGCCAGTATTTCAAAACTGACTCAGCAATCTGGTCACAGTAGGCAGACAGTATTTGTCAATTTGAATAATGAGAAACTCTAAAATAATGACCACATGGATTTCACAAGAATGATGAGATTGCTGTGAGTTGAAAACTTGAACTATTTTGCTGCAATTACGGTACACCTACATTCTGTAACTATAACTGTTCATACAACACCTTTTCTCCACCACTAGCAAATGAAATTCCTTGCATGTCATGATTAGCAACAACTCTTCCACTTTCAATGCTTGTCAACTTAATACCAAGGGACGATACTGTCATGTTAACAGCACAGCCAGAGTTTACCATACCAGGGACTTCTAAATATTGTACACAAGAGAAAAGAAAATTTCCAATTTACAATTTGGAATTTAAAAAAAAAAAAAAAAACTGTTTTAAATAGGCAGCCCACAATTAATCTAATTGCTACTAAAACCTTCTCAGTTCTGACATGTTTTTTAGTCAACAGGGTATCATTTTTATCTTCACCAGGTGCCCTGAAAAAAACTCTTCATGAATGCAGGTGCCAAGTGGCAGCTGAAGATTTTGGCATATCACGTGTGCAGGCTCTTTTACAAGTTGCATGAACAGCATTCAGTTTCATAATGATATTAGAGGGATTACTTCATAAAATTTTTTTATTCATTTGACACCAACACATTCCAATTTTAAAAAGCAATAAATGTGCAAGGTACGTACAAGTAGAAATAACTGTATTCTAATCACTACATGGGTTCCATAATAATGATAACTCTGGAAAGTCATGTTATAATCATGTAAGCAGGATAATGAGAAATGGTACTGTCACAATTCCAACAAATGTATTATTTAATACTGTAACCGACTTAAAAGTTGTACATAGAAGAATTTAAAATCCATCAGTGCTGTTCTTTATTACCTCCTAGAAGCTTTTGTATATTCTTTCCTGCCTGACAAAACCACAAAAAAACACTGTTAAAATTTTGACAGATCAGATAGCTCAAAATATAAAGCTGTGTGCAAGTACACCCCTTCTGGAGCAAAATTCATTTTTTTCAATGATGAACATGTACGAGGACACTTAAGTTTGTTGCCGATTATTTTTTCCCAATACACACATGAAGCCAAAGTGAAAGATTTCACAGATGGAGCACACTGGGCCAGGATCATAAGATTTTAAAATGACATTAAAAGCCAATAATAATGTTTAATTGCATGTAATCTCTGAGTTAAAACCTGCCAAATGCTCATTTTTTTTCTATGGTTGTCATCTTTTTCCCTTACATACCTTCTTTCTCCTCGACAGCTGATAGCCAGCAGCTTCAGAACATCTCAAGATAGCTTCCCTACGATGCAAAATAATCACAGAGACAAGTAAATACCTACCATTGACAAGAACTGTAATGTTTCAAAACAAGTTTGAGATAAAAGATGTTTTGAACACTCATAAAATTCTTTGCCAGATTTGCATCAATTGATTTGCTTTGGAGTTTATAAAGGGCAAATTGGATATTCAACATATAATGCTTTAATGATTTAAGCCATTTTACTTTAAGGGGAGATGAAAAAGGTATTTCTTTCCACAAAACATTGTTAACAATTCTATTCCGATTATCACACAACTCAAAAAGATGCTAGACCCTCCAGAAATCTTTAACCTGGAGCTGTATGTGTTATTTTAAGTCAAATCCCTCACAACCAGCCCCACCCCTTCCTGGATTTGGTGACTAATTGATCAGTCTCTCTCAACCAATGAAATTCAATGGGAAGAACCCTCTTAATTCAGAATAACAAAAATACAAGCTGATTCACCTAAAACCCAATTTCTTTCTCGAAATCCCTTTTCCATTTTGTTTACAGACGATGAAATTCATATTTGAGTCCAAATCCAAATCAACTTCATTTGAGAGATTTACTGTCACTTCAACAACACAGAAAGACCAGGAGATTTATTCCGTACCCTGCAATTCCCAGATAAACCAAGAGAGTTGACCTCAGTGATACTACATGAATGTCACAGCATCAACACATAATTTTTTTTGTTGAGTCAAGTTAATTTTAGTGGACCACATTAAATGAACAGGCAATTTTTTCTATACACTACAATTCCCAGATAAACCAAGAGAGTTGGCTTCTGTGATACTTCATTAATGTCACTGCATCATCAAAGAAATTTTGTGTCCATGAAATGAACGGGAAGGAAACCTTAACCACCAGGGGTTCAACCACACTGAGGCCGGTCTTACTGTTATGAAATTTGTAAATGTCAAAGCATGGAAGGAAGAATCCGACTTAAGGTCAAGTACATTTTTTTTCCTATTCGGAAAACCTCAGAATCGCCTCAGAATTACCAAAAGCTTACTTGCATAATGTCAAGATAAGCAAATGTTACGTAACGCAGAACTCTAGAATTATCTCGACTCAAAGGTATGAAAATTATAATAATTACGTTTGCGTGATAGATAAAAATGTTGCTCAATCGTCCTCAAGAAATCAAAACTATTTACAATTAAGTTTGATTAAGTCGTAAGTTACCGTGTTCATTCAGAGGAAAAGGAGCATAAACTTAGCTTCATTTCGAAGCCACTGATATAATTATGATTTCACGGGGCGTTATTCGTTGATGATGTCAGACAGAAACTTTTTCTTTATTGAATAACACAACAGTGAAGACGTATAGTATTACATTTTGGCAGTTCCTGATGTTCTTCGGAGTAAAAACTTTACCTTGTAACTTGTTGTCGAAGATCGTAAGGGAGAGTTCGCATGGACTTTAATACTTGTAAACAACCAACATACTATGATCAAGAATTAAGCAGAAAAACAGATTAATTCGGAATCCTTCCCGATTGGAACACTGATTCTATATATTAACATTGCTCTTGTGCGGTATTTTAATGGCCACAAATCAAAGGTACCAAAACTTCAAAACAATTAAACTCTGCTTAGTAAAAATTTACCGAGGAGAAACACAACTTCTTCTACCAAGAACGTAACCGAACGCACTGTATTTGTTTGCATCAAAATTATTTTAGTTTCTAAATATCGATCATTGCATCAACTCACTTTGACAGCATAACAAACTCCGCCTTCCTTCAGCGAATTATCTGAATGAAGCCATCCCCTTTGAGGCTTGTGAACAAAACTTCCTGTCTTAGTCCATTCAGCGGACGGATCATTAGACTTTTTCTTTCCAAACATGATTGTTTTAGACTTCAAACACTCTCTCGTACCATATCAACATTCTTTTCGTTTCCGCCGTCAAAGGATCCGTCCCAGAGTGCTTTGGAAATTTTCTTGCTGAGCGACCTCGCTGGCTCAAAAGGAAGTGAACGCAGCGAACAGAGAAGCGAACAGCAAAGTTAGTGGCAACAAGAATCAGAGGAATTAAATTTTATTATATTTCCCCTTCTTACGATGGCAGCACGTCTCGATCTTGATGATTGATCGTTGATACGTGCGATTGTGTTACGCGTCTGTTGAAACACTGTCCACAACAATGATAGGCACCTTAAGATACCCTTGACCCGGCCTTGGATGACGTCAACCGGAGGTCAATTCGCAAGGTCTCACTTTTAATTTAAAGGTGAGTCATTTTTGCGAATTCTTCCCTTAAATTTACAAGTTTTGCATAAAATTTGCAAACATTATTGTAAAAGAAATAGATTCCTAAACTGTCTGGTTCATTTTTGTTTTCATGAGCGTCAAGTCTTCAGAAAGGAATCCGAAAAGCAGGTAAATCTGGGTAAATTTCCTCGGACAGTATTGCTTTATTTTTCATTTTAACCTTCATTTTTATCGTGTAAAATTAATCAGTGGCAGTTTAGGACCGCTTTAGAAAATGATTTTGCATTATTTATATTATTTTGCGCCATCTTTCTTCGACTCGTGTTTGTT